GAATGGTCCCTTCTGACCACATGACTAAAGTAGATGGAATGAAGTCCAGCCATTCTCGCTTCCAAGGAGCATTCCAGCTACACTTCTTCCAGGATGTATTTGCTCGTTCTTCTGGCAGTCCATGGTCCTTTCAGTATTCTTCACCAACACCACAACTCAAAATCATCAACTCTTCTTTGGTCTTCTTTATTCATTGTCCAGCTTTCACATGCATATGAGACTACAGAAAATCCATGGCTTGGGTTAGGCGCACCTTAATCTTCAGAGACATCTTTGCTCTTCAACACTCATCTGTCAGTTTGTCGTACTGTGGTGGCTTCTGTGTTGCTATGAGGCTAGAGGCTATGCCACCAGTATTTAAAACACCAGCAGGGTCACCCATGGTGAACAGGTTTCAGCAGAGCTTGCAGACAAAGACAGACTTGGAAGAAGGAAAGGGCCATCCATTTCTCAAAGAACTGGCCAGTGAAAACTTTATGAATGAATACCAGTGAAACACTGTCTGATATATTGCTGGAAATCTTTGAAGCACTACTATCTAAATAAAGGTCCTACTGAAAAATATTTCATCCTATGTACTCTATTTCAGTATGTAATGATGAAGTTACGTAAAATTCAAAGTAATAAAAAGGAAAAAAACTTGTGAAGTTTTGAAGGTTGAAGTTTCTTTCTGCATAAAATTAGTTGATTGAAGTAGGAGCATTAAGTAGTAGCATTAAATTGTAATATTATTTATGGGTAATACGATAAGAATCTTTATATTATAGTAATTATGTTGCTAGAGAATAGTGGTATTAAATCATCATTACCAGAACTGAATGTGGTAGTTAAGGCTGTGTGTCAACTTGGCTAGGCCTGGTTGAATGGCTGGGCAGCTGGTGGTAGTTATTGGCAATCAACTCCACGGTGGGATCTACCATAAGCAGCTGAGTAGGGATGTGATCTGCTTCCCATATACAACCAGCAGATTTGGGAACAGTCTCTAGCTTATGGCATGTTTGAACCCTGCATATAGCCGTGTCATTGTTCAGCAGCCTGCCATGTTCTGCCGACTTTGGGACTGGGACTTTCAGTGGACTTGAATTAATGGCCTGCCATGTGGTTTGGTAACATCGGGACTGTGCCTTTTTACTTGTCAACCTTGGGCTTGTCAGTCTCAGCAGTCAGCAGCTGTCTGAGTGAAGAAAAGCCTCTAGCTCCAGTGGGTCGGGAGCAGGAGGCAGAGCTGCAGCCCAAGGTTGAGGGTCTTTCACTCAGCCTCTAGAGCCTGGCATTTGAACTCGGACTTAAAGCCTCCAAACTGTAAGAGAATAAATTCCTCTTTGTTCGTGCCATCCTATTTGTGGTATATTCTTGTCAGAGCAGCACTAGGTAACCAAAACACTGAATTTTACTTATTTATTTCATATTTATAATACACATTTGATATATTTGATTAAAATTGAGTAAACTTGTTTCAAACAAGAAAAATAATAGTGCCATGCTGCAGGATTCAATGTCTTTGTTTTTTAAGTATTTACTAGTAATTTGGAGGAAAAGAAGTATATAGTGTCTTGGTTTTAAAAATCTGAAAAGAAAGATCTATTATAAAATAATTTTATCAAAATCTCTTCTAACTAAAAAGATCTTTGGCTCTTTACATCATCACAAAAAATAAAAAGGAGGTACATACTATGATATAATATTAACCTTGAGAAAACTCAGATTCAGTCCTGTTTTCATATTGGACCAAACCAGGTTATTTTGCACAATAAATAAAATATCTTAAAACCTTAGGAATCCTTTGGGTTAGGGGTTAAAAAAAGAAAAAAAAAAAAAACCCTCCAATACCATCAAGTCAATTCTGACTCACAGCAACCCCCACTGGGTTTCCAAGGCTGTAAATCTTTACAGAAGCAGACTGCCTCATCTTTCTTCCATGGGGCAACTGATGGGTTCAAACCACTGACTTTCTGGTTAGCAACCAAATGCCTTAACCACTATATCACCAGAGCTCCTTATGTTAGGGGCAAGTACTCATTTAAACTATTAAAATATGTAGAGTACTATTACCTAAAATGAATATCATGGTTAACATTAATTGAGGTAATTTTTTAATTAAAAGATAATTAAGAACAACTTTCTTCCCAAAAATATTTCCCTAAAGCTTTATAAATCTTTAACTATTAGCCAACGGGCATAGCAAGGAATATAATGCATCCATTCAAAAACAGTCTCTAAATATGATTCCAAAAGTAGGTTGATCATATATTTATTCAATATAAACTAAGTACCTAATATACTAGGCACTTAGATCATTTTGAGACAAAAAATACTGCACTGGAAAAAGATTTTTTGACATCTGAAATGTAACATACATTTTGGGGCTGAGAATTAATTGTAGTCAACACACAGAGCAAAATTCTGAATAACTGAAACAATTATACCCTTAAGCATCCCACTTTCTAAAATTCTTACTATTCTCTTAAATTGATTTCTATTCAGAGAGTCTAAAACAACAGGGGGGAAAATTCTAATAATGAATACAAAAGACTAGAAATATAAGAAAAGGAATGAATTAGCTCTTGAATCCTTGCCCCATTTGTTCAATAGTGCTTTTAATGTTCAATTTTCTCTGCAAAGAAAATCTTGGTTTAAAAGTACAAGAAGTACCATCTTTGTATCTAAAGAAGAATATCATTTAGCTCATACTAAAGTTAGTAAAAGATTGAAAAACTGGGGAAAAGTATTAAAATACATCTTTATTCTACTATATTATGGCATTCAACATTGTAATAACCTGATACATTGGTATATAACATTTTTACATAAATATTAACAACAGGTAGAAATTTTTCCTTTGCTCTTTTAAGAGAATCCTAGGGGAGTTTGTAACTTGGAGTCACTTTAAGAAATCACTTTTATCATCTAAACTATTTATCTTCTAAAAGGGTGATTTAATTGGGAAAAGAAAAAAGCCACATTGCTTCTTCCTCCCAAGAAAAAAAGATGCCATTCTATTTTTTAGGATTGTCTGTTTGTCTGTCTCTCCCTTGCTCTCTCCCTCCCTCACTACCCATTTCCTTCCTCCACTCTCCCTTCTCTCTAGAGATAGACAGATGGATAGACAGATATAGATAAATAGACATATATAGAAAGAGATATAGACATATAATATAGATATGACATAAAGCTTTGATTTTAGATCTTTCTCTTCTTCTTGATTCATTATTCTCAACCTGTACTGCCTTTCACCTGCATTGTTCAAGCATATATTCAGTACTTTCTGCATGTAAAGGAAGATACAAAAGCACTGTAACTCTCTGTCCTACAGAATCTTGCAATCTCTTCCAGGAGCAAGATGAAACACAATATATCATTAAGGAAACTGTACAACTAACAGCAAAGCCAACGGTACAGGTAATAGACATTTTATATGTATTTACAGTTTTAGAGCTTCAAAACACTTGTGTATTTAAATCTCTGAACAATCTGGTGAAGTATACATTATCCTCATTTTAGCAATAAAGAACCTGTGACTCAGAATTTTAAGTGGCATGCCTCAGTCAAACAGATTATGAGTGGAAGAACCAAGACTCAAAGCAGGGTCCTTTAATTCTCAGTGCAGGATTTGTATACACAAGAAACCAGAGATTGGACTGGAGTCCTCAGCAGAGGCAACAGCCGGCCTTCTTCCAGAGGTGGAACTAAACTGGACCCAGAGGATGACATGAAAATATGAAACCACCTGAGCAGTGTCCAACGAATGTCCAAATTAATTGTTTCTGCAAATATTTGGAGTTTTAATTAATTTGTACTTCAGTGTAATACAGAGCACAGATACCATGTCCTTAGTGCCTTTACTTCCTCTATAAGAGCTCTGCTCTCAGAAACGGGGATGTCTAATATTAAAAAACTGGTCTAGCGGAGTCATGTAAATCATAAACACAAATCTTAAAGATCTAGTTCTACTAATACATACACATTTGGTTTCCCTTCGGCACCGGAGCCTAACTCGCCCCACCTTTCTCTAGCATTCTTGCTTCAACTAAGTATTTTAAGATGTCAGTGATGACTGACCCTACCCCAAATTCTACACGTTCACCCCAGTCTTGCCACCTTACTCCAGCCTTGCCCAGACATCTTCCCCTCCCTCCCGATAGATATGATACCGAGTTCAGGTTCTGCAGGTCCTGTCACGATGCTGTCACCAGCACTGAGAGATAAGATATGACCTTTCCACTCCGTCCTTGGGGACCTCTCATTGGCTGTGCAGCGAAGTTCTACCCTCAGGGAAGGGGCTTCCAGCTCGAGAACGCAGCGCCGGGCAGAGCGCGTTCCGAAGCTATGTCTTCGACAACTAGCACGATACTGGGTACCCGGGCGTGTATCGCTCCGCCCCATTCTCCTGCCAACTGCAGGGGACTCGGTCTGGCAACCAGTCCATCCCACCCACAGGCAAGTCCGGGGCAGCCGGACCTCACGCAGGACTCCAAAGACTGCTTGGCGGCGGCAGCGGCAGCGGCAGCAAAAGCCAAAGCCACCCGCCTCTGGTGCCCATCGCCGCCAACCTAGGAGCCCCCTAGGATGGACCGCAGAGAAACGTTTCTATGGGAACCCCCAGGGGATCACGTGACGCACTCCGGCGACCAATCCTCTCCCCTATGTCAGTGGCACTGCTTTCTGCCCTCCCTCTCATTCCGCCCCCGCCAGCTTCTTTCAGCCCCGCCCCTTGCCTGCAGAGATTCTGCGCCTGCGTACTGGGTCCTTAGTGCTCCCGCCCTCGCAGGCGCTCCGCGGGAGAACGGGGGCGGAGTAGGAGGCTTGAGAAGTGCGTGAACCTGAAGGGGAAGGAGTGGGGCCAGCGCGCAGGCCCAGAACCGCCCTAGCCGCTGCTGCCGGCTACGCCCCAGAGCGGAAGAGGGAAGTGGAGGCGCTAGCCTTCGGGTTCCTGCTGGGCTAGGGTTGCTGTAGCAGAAGTAGCACTGAGAGGAGGCCCCTGCCACGGGTCGGGAACGGCGATGTCGAAGAACACAGTGTCGTCGGCCCGGTTCCGGAAGGTGGACGTGGATGAGTACGACGAGAACAAGTTCGTGGACGAGGAAGACGGGGGCGACGGCCAGGCCGGGCCCGATGAGGGCGAGGTGGACTCCTGCCTGAGACAATATCCTTGCGTTCGCAGCCTCCCACCGGGCCCCTCTGCCCGGACCCCGCCGCCTTTCAGAGTCTGAGGTCCATGGGCCCTTGCAGGGATGGGTGCGGAGCTGCCTCCTACCTAAGCAGCCCGCGGTGAACCTGATTGGGGTCCCCAATTCTGTGAGGGAGAGGCTTTCGCTTTTCTAACAGAGTCGCTTCAATACCCCAGGTTTCCACCCTCTGGAACTTGCTGTTCGCGCCGCGCCTCCCACGCCCCGGATTCCTCAGGTTGCGCGGAGTGCCTGCCTCCGGAACCGGCTTGGCCGGCCGCGCCCTCGAGGCGTTGGGGAGGCATTTGGTGCTGGTCATTGCTGCCGGGAGGCTCGGTGATTCTCCACAGGAGTCTATTTCCTGGGGTCACATTAGGCAAAAATGTCTTGATTTCTGGCGCCTTTCGTTAGTGGTTTTGATGGGGAAGCGTATTGGTGGTGGTGTTTTTTATTTTTTTCTGATAACCTTCGGCTAGTTTATTACCTGCCGGGAGCATTGGGGCGGTTCGCAGAATTGAAGCCCTGTGTCTTTTCTATTCGATGGCAGTAGGTTAATAGATGAGGTCTTTTCAACCTGTGGGCATTTTTCTTTCCTTATTTTAACGAGAAAGTAATTGGCAAAATAGAGGTTGCACAGAATTTGTTCATCGGAAGGGAAGTGAATACCAAAACTCCCGAAAAGGAAGCTTAAAGTCCTTTACCTGCTAAGAAAAGGACAATACAAAGAAAATGGGGAATGCATGTGCAGAATCCCTGGAATTACTTTAAATAAACCCCAATGAATAAAATATGGGTAGAGTCAATTGAATAGAGCAGAATCGGTTTTGTAATCTTCAGATTGTTTCCATTTTAGTTAAAATGTAACTCAGTTCCTGGTTTTTATTTTTTGCATATTTGAATATTCGTAACTCGTAATGAGCGTTTGCATGAAAACTTTTTAGAAAAATGTACATGCCGCAGTAACCAAAGCTGTAATTTTAGAGATCCTCAGTGACTGAAGTTTATACTTTTCTAGTTTTTCTTGAGCGTATGTATAAAAAAACAAACTCACTGCCATCCAGTCGATCCGACTCATAGCGACCCCCTTTGGGTTTCCAAGGCGGTATCATTACGGAAGTAGATTGCTCAACCTTCCGAGGAGTGGCTGGTGGGTTTGAACCACCACCTTTCTGGTTAGCAGTTAAATGCCTTAGGCACTACACCACGAGAGCTCCTTGCGTATGTATAATTAAAGCTTTTTATACTCTCCTCATCAATGCTTTATTAAATTATAATGGAGAAAATACATGAGTGAAAATACTTGGTGGCAACTATATCTAGTCTTAAAGGCACCTAAAATACAGCATTAAACATTTGTCAACATACTTTCACAATCACCTGTTAACTGTTTTGCATTATATAAGTATTTGTGAATGTTTTGCATTATATAAGTATTTGTGAAGTGTTTTGCATCTTTAAAAATTATCTTACCAAAGCCTTGAAAATACGGTAACAGTTTACTACCAACCATAGATTTGTTAGACCTTTCTCTTCAGAAGATAAGTGGTGAATATTACTTTTTTCAAAACATTCTTTATGGTGGATAAAGGTTTCATGAGATTAATTTGACATCTTTTAGGTGATTTGTAATGACTTTTAAATGGTACTGCTGTATCTCTTATCAGTTGGGTCTGCTTTTGAATCAGTTCATCTTAAAACATGATGACACTGTCTCTTTTATCCTTGTAACAGTCAAGGGAGACAGCCCTGCCTGCGTAGAGCGAGTCAGGTGCTAGAGATGGAGGAAACAAGTGAACTCTGTGTGGTTTTCCTTTTAGGGGAATGACTGTACATTCTGGCAGTCTGATTGGCCTTCCGTTTCTCATATTTGCTTACTCACTGATGCTTTCAAAGAGAGACTGGATTTAATAGATGTAGTCGAAGACAGTTTGAATAACCTTTATGAAATATGAAAGAATATATGCAAAACAAAATTTAAGCTGCCACCTAAGGGTCATATGAATTACTACACTTTCTATATTGCCTCTTCATCAAAATTCAGAGACTGCTAATGTATATCGTTCAAATTGCCAGGGTAATCTAGCATTTGAATTAATACAGAATACAATGCTAGGAAAAGTATAGTCTTTTTTCTCCTCTCAGTTAAAATCACATAAAAAGATGTATGTTTGATGAGAGACTGGTTCATTTTGGGATTTAATATTTCTAATAAATATTTTGGGAGCTCTGATGGCGTAGTGCCAAAGCATTTGACTGCTAACCAGAAGGCTGGCAGTTCAAATCCATCAGCCACTCCTCAGAACAATTCTTTAGAGATACTGCCTCAGAAACCCAAGGAGGGGTCACTGTGAGTTGAAATCAACTTTAAATTTTCTTTAATAGCACTCTGGGTAATGTTTGCATATGTGTCTTACTGCAAAATGGAAGGTTATCAAGGTGTTCATTTGATAAGTAAGAACCAAAAAATAAAAATAAAAAACAAACCCATTGCTGTCGAGTTGATTCTGACTCATAGTGACCAGTGACCCTATAAGACAGTAGAATTATTCCATAGGGTTTTCAAGGCTGTATGACTTGGAATCCACTTGATGGCAATGAGTTAATCTTTATGAAAGCAGAGTACCACATCTTTCTCCCTTGGAGCCTTGCACTGTTTGAACCACCCGCCTATGTTGGCATCCAAGCATTTAACCCACTATACCACCAAAGCTCCTTGCTAGTTACGAGCCAAGGGTAAACTGGTGTTTACTTTATTAACAAAAATAAGTCTATTGTTCTCTTTTGTTTTCAGTATTTTGCTTTTGATTGACGTCCTTTAAATCAGCACATTGAATGTCCAGTTTTGAATATAGTGACCATAGTAGTTTTTTCTCTTTCTACACAAAGTTGTATCCTAACAACCAATGATTCCTGAAGGTTACAATGCTTATAAAGGGCTGTCCTTTCCTGTTACCCCCTTAACCTCCCTCACAGGAAACATGGCAGCTGCTCTACAAGCAGCCCTGAAAAACCCACCTATCAACACCAAGAGTCAGGCAGTGAAGGTGAGTCACAGACAACACAGTGATCCCTTGCTGATACCTTCATTCATACCAAAATCTTCAGAATTTTTCACAAAATCAACAAATATTTTAACTATTTATCTCTCTGACATAAAAGAGCTTATAATTTAGTTTGATAAGTTAAAATTTACAAAAAAAATTGCACTCATAGCGGTATTATACTGCCACATGGTAGAGTAAGTTTAAAACGTTCAAATGACAGAGAAATCAGTTCTGTGGTCATTGTTAGAGGAGGCCACCACAATTGAATTTAAACAAGGGCTTCAAAAATAACATTTACAAAAATAAACTCTATTTGCTTGCTTTTAAAAGATTTTTTTTAAAAAGATTAAACTAGTACTAAGGAAGGTTGGGCAATCTACTTCGGTAGTGATACAGCTTCGGAAACCCAAGGAGGGGTCACTATGAGTCAGGGCCGACTTGACGGCACATAACAACAACAACAACAAATACTTATTATAGAAAACACAGAAATGTGGGGTTTAAAGGGTAATCATCCAGAATCCCACCACCCAGAAAGCAGTTGTTACTTTTTGGTGTGGCTAACCCACCAGCTATTCCTTGGAAGGAAGGTTGGGCAATCTACTTCCATAGTGATACCTCCTTGGAAACCCAAGGAGGGGTTACTGTGAGTCAGGTCTGACTTGATGGCACATAACAACAACATATGCTTATAGGTTTTTTATTTTTGCTTTTTTTTTTTTTTTAGTAAAAACAAATTTTAGAACCTTTTTCAACTGTAGAGCAACATACATGAATTTCTTTCCTTAGTAATAAGGAAATATTTTGTAATGTAATACTTTTTGATGGGAGCTCTGGTAGTGTAGTGGCTAAGGCTCTGGACTGCTAACGAGAAGGCTGGCGGTTCAAACCCACCAGCCACTCAGAAGGAAGATGGGGCAATCTACTTCAGTAGTGATACTGCCTTGGAAACCCAAGGAGGGGTCGTTATGAGTCGGGTCTGACTCGATGGCACATAACAACAACAACAAAATACTTTTTGATAGCTGCTTACAGATACACTATAGTTTATATATACCTATTCTCTTTTGGTCACACATCTAAATATTGACCTTTTTTTTTCTTGTACTGTAAATTCTTCGTTCCTTTGGATAAACTTTTTCCATCAAAGAGTGTTCTTTTTTTCTTGAGGCTTTTGTACATGTGGTATGGTCAAATTGCCCTTTAGAAAAGTGTAGTTTACACTCCCAGCAGCAGTCTTTTCACTAATTCTTAAGAACCCTTTTATTGTTTTATTCATTTTATTGTTTAAAATGAAACCCAAAGCATCAACCCCACTGTTAGTGGCTCTTTGTACATCCTGGTAGATTCAAGACTCTCTTTAAAGGAAGAGTAATAAATAGTAACTTAGGTAGATGCATAGTAATTATTTATGCAACAAGGGGGTGATGTCTTTGGTTTCTAAAAGTTGGGGGGGGGCTTCATTGAAATTTCAGTTTTACCACTTTCTGCTTTCATATGGGTGAATTTTATCACAGCTTGTGGATTGGAGGTTATAGCTCTGGAGGCAACAGTGTTTTTCTAAATTGAGTAATTGCATATTCTCTAAACTGAAGGTAACAATAGGTGGTAGAAACATCTTGTAAAATCCTGGCCAGCAGAAATGTTAAATGTTATCACTTTGTCTTGAGTAGAAGGAGAAACAAATTGTAGAAAGGGTAAATTAAGTGTTCCATTTGCTTGGCTTCATGAGTAAGAAAATAACTGCTTTTGGAGAAGCCTTTTGTCAAAGAAAAAAGATCATTAGCAATGAAAATCATGCATCTCATAACTATAGTCAAATAACAGTGAATAAAATATTCCTGACGGGTAGTCGAAGGTTGAATTGAACTGCAAATTGATTTCCTGGTTTTGTTGGGATTTTTGTTTTAAGATCAACAAGTAAAATTTAAACATTAATTTAATAAACTACCACAATCTGATTTCTTGGCAAATCCTGCCAGCTCTGCCTTCAAGTATGTCGAGAATATGACTGCTTCTTACCACCTGCACTGCTATCATGCTAGCCAGACCACTGTCATTTGTTCACTGCACTATTGCAATTTCTTCCTAATGGGTCTGCCTGCTTCTGCCTCCCCACCCCAACCCCACCCCCAGTTTATTCTCAATATACCAAACCAAATACACTGCTATCTAGTTGATTCCGACTCATAGTGACCCCTTTTGGATTTCCAAGGCAACAAAACTTTATGGAAGTAGAGTGGCCAGTCATTCTTCCATGGAGTGGCTGATGGGTTTGAACTTCCAACCTTCTGGTTAGCAGTCAAATGCCTTGGGTACCACACCACCAGAGCACCTTATTCTCAATGTAGGAACGGGCTAATTCTGTTATAATGTAAGTCAGATTATGTCACTGCTCTTCTCAAACCTTCCAAGATCATCTCATTTCTCTACGAGTAAGCCATAATCCTTACAGTGCCCTACAGGCCTTACATGATCTGGCCCCCTGTTAACCTGTCTGACTTCCTTTCCTGCTGTTCTGCACTCCATCCACATTAAGTCTTTTTGCTATTCCTTGAGCACACTAAATACACACTAACAGCACTTTTTCTTTCCTGTTTGAAACACTGTTTTCTCATATAACCCTAAAGCCACCTCTCACATCCTTCAAGAGTCACCTTCTCAGACTTACCTTTCTAAAACTGCAACCCCACACATACATATGTTTTGAATGTTTTGTTATTTGTTTACCTGCAGGATCGGGCAGGCAGCATTGTCTTGAAGGTGCTCATCTCTTTTAAAGCTAATGATATTGAAAAGGCAGTTCAATCTCTGGACAAGAATGGTGTCGATCTCCTAATGAAGTATATTTATAAAGGCTTTGAGAGCCCCTCTGACAATAGCAGTGCTGTGTTATTGCAGTGGCATGAAAAGGTAAGTTATGAATTATAAATCTACATGACTGGTTCCTTTATGGTAGAGAATAACAATGACAGCCTCTCTCGACTAAATAACCATTTGACTGCCTAGTGATATGATACATCTTTGTTAGACAAGTACATGAAAATGAAAGTTCAGATTTTTGTTTCACTTGTATTTGCACATTTGTATTAAAAACAGGTAACACTTGTAATTAGTCAATAATGATTATTATTCATTAAACATAATCTTGAACTTTGAGCTAAGAACTTTGCAAAAGAAATTAAGACAGCCCCAATTTATGCTGGTTGTCCCAACATGATTTTGAGTAGTTTCCTTTTCACTTTGAAGGGTCCCAGTTAGGACAGTAGTTTATGTGGTCATCCTATTTATGAGCATTTTGTTCGCCACCAGGAGCTCTGGTGGCATAGTGCCTAAGGGATTTGACTGCTAACCAGAAGGTTGGCAGCTCAAACCCACCAGCCACTCCATGGAAGGAAAACTGGGCAGTCTACTTCCATAAAGATTTACCACCTCAGAAACCCAAAGTGTAGCTATGAGTCGGAATCAACTCGAAGGCAGTGAGTTTAGTTTTCAGTTTTTTTCTGTTTGCCAGTTTATGTTTCATTTAATCCTCACAACAACTCTATAGTATATATAATCCTCATAAATATACTAGGAGGCACCAACAAAAAAAATAAAACTATTTAAAAAAAAAAAAACACCAGGAAAAATTGAGGAGCTATCAGATTGGAGCAGATAAAAGGAGACATGATGACTAAATGCAATGTGGAATCCTGGATTGGATCCTGGGGACAGAAAAAGGACAACTCTGAGTAGTAAAACTGTAGAATAAAATACAGAAATTTGAATAAGGACTTCAGTTTACATAATAGGGTTGTACCAATGCTAATTTCCTGGTTTTGATTGCTGTATATGGTTATGTAAGATAACATTACGAGAAGCTGGGCGAAGAGTATTCCTGAACTGCTTGTACTACTTTTGTAACTTTTCTGAAGTCTGAAATTATTTCAAAGTAAATTATTAAAATTATCATATTAAAAAAAGAGAGATGGTGGTGGTTATGTAAGATTACACATGTGATAAAACTCATAGAGCTATACACACACACAAACACACACATGAGTGTATATATGACATAAAATCTGAATAAACTCTGTGGATTGTACCAATATCAATTTCTTTGTTTTGATATTGTACTACAGTTGTGTAAGTTGTTACTGTTAGGGAAGGCTGAAAGAAGGGTGCACAGAGCCTCCCCGTATATTTCTTTAAGCTTTTTGTGAATCAGTAATTACTTAAAAGTAAAAAAGTTAAAATAAATAAATAAAGAGAGAGAGAGAGAGAAGGAATGAAAGAGACCTGCTGTTATTCCCCTTTTGGAGACGGGAAAACTAAGTACTCTGTTACGTCTTATTTGTTCCAGATGTAAGTCACCAGTTTTTGCCATTCTTATCTTTCATGTTGTTGTTGTTGTTGTTATTTGCCGTCAAGTCGGCCCCGACTCATAGCGACCCCTCCTTGGGTTTCCGAGGCAGTATCACTACGGAAGTAGGATTGCCCAACCTTCCTTCCGAGCTTATCTTTCATATACTACTGAAATTCATCCTCTCAAGTACATTTCTAATGCACTTTTCACAGTATCTCTTCTAGTGTGTTGCTATAGGTTCCTAACTGGTCTCCCAGCTGCCAATTCTGCCTCCTTCAAATATGTTCTCCACCTAGCCACCAGAAAGATCTTTTTAATACAAATCTGTTATTACTCTCCTCAGAATAAAGTTCGAATTCCCAAGTCCAGCCTCATCTTCCCCATCATTTTTTCCCTTATGCTCCAGTAGTGCCAACCGATTCCCTGAACACACCAATTTCACACTTCCATATCATTGCTTATGATTCTCTCTCTGCCTGAGTGCCTTCCTTTCCCTCTTATGTCAGTGTGTCACCTACTCATCATGTTAATGTATCATTTTCTCTAGGAAACCTTACCTGACACACTCCTCTATATCCTTAGGCTGGGTACATGAACCTTCTCAGCACTTTCACTGCTATTTATCACTCTAAGCATAACTCTGTCATTTCATGTATTATGTTAAAATTATCTGTTTATATGTCTGTCTCCCCAGCCAGACCAACCGATGCTATATTTATTCCATTTTGTATTCCCTAGTGCCTAGCACAGTATTCAGTACACAAAGATACTGTTTTTGAACAGAGAAGTAAACCAGAGCTTCAGATTCCTAATAATTATAACTTCCAATTTTTTTAAATAAAGTTGGAGTTAAAGTTCCCAAGTTAGCTATTAAATAGTATCTTGTTAGCTTGGGAGAAAAAACCTGACAAGTTGTGATTTTAATCTAAATGTTATCTGGAGTGGTTGATCCTAATTTGAATTTCTTCCTGATTGTGTGCTTAAAATGAGAGAATGAGCAGCAAGAATTTTTATATGATACTACAAATAAACTGTACTACTTCTATTAATACTCTTACTTCTTTAACTGTGCGTATCTGTAGTATCCTAAATTTATATCTGAGCACCTGTTTTAGGCAAGACCATTTTTGCTGCAAGAGTTCTGGGTGTTACATACAGTTTATGTGCTCAGCTACTAACAAAAAGATTAGCAGTTCTAGTCCACCCAGAGTCTTCTTGGAAGAAAGCTCTGGCAATCTACCTCTGAGAGGTCAGCCATTGAAAACACTATGGAGTACCTCTGACACCCGTGGAGTTGCCGTGAGTCAGAATTGACTAGATGGCAAATGTTTTTTTTTTTGTTTTATTACACTGCAGACTTTTTTTTTTTTTAACCTATTACTATTAATTTGGAAACAATATACTAGAATATAAACTGGAATCTCATTGGAATTTAAGTGCATAAAGTCAGAAATGTTGAGGATTTTGATTCCTATATCCCCAGCATCAGGAACAATATCCAGGGTATCATAAGTGCTCAAGAAATATTTATTAAATTAATGAATTTCAAAATCTATAGCTGTACACATTCCCTCTTTTAAAAAAGTATTTTGCGTAAAATAAGAATTGGTCCTTTATGATTCTGTTAACCTTTGCCTTTGGATTTGTTTTCAGGCACTTGCTGCTGGAGGAGTAGGGTCCATCGTTCGAGTCTTGACTGCAAGGAAAACAGTGTAGTCCAGCAGGAACTGGATATATGCCAGGGTGTGGAAGTTGCTGGTACAAAGACCAAAACAACCAAATGCCACCGCTGCCCTTTGGGTAGCATCTGTGTCTCTCAGCTTTGCCTTCTTGCTTCCTTTTTCATAACTGTAAAGATGAAAATTACATATGTCAGTTTTCCTTTCATGAAAATTGGGATAATACAGAGGAAATTTTGTCTGAACAGAAGTGTTTTCATGCTTTCAAAACCATTTCAGTCCTATGTATACCAGTCTGTATATAGTATAATTTACATTCAAGTTTAATTGTGCAATTTTTAATTCCCATTGGTTAAAAATGTGTTGGTTTTTTGTTGTTGTTGTTGTTGTTGTTGTTAAATACTGAGAGATTTGATTAGAATTTGAGGCCAGTGTTCTAATTCATTGCTAGCCAGGCAGTGATTTTTATCTAAAATATGAGAGACTGGCAGCTATTAACATTGTAAAACTGGACCATACTTCCCCTATTAAAGCAAAATATGTTTCTGGAACAAGTGGTGGGTGAGCACCACTACCAGTTTCCAGCTTTGTTCCTGCTTGCTTCCAGATAATGTGTGCTGTGAGTTTAAGTATCCTTCTTCCTCTCAGTATCCAGTAATCATGGCTTCTTAATTTCTTTGTGGCCACCCAGGGTCCAGAGCAAGGAGTCATGCTCTATACAAATGAATCTGTAAAATAGAGAGCCTGTTTGGCATGAGCAAAACTTTTGTTCCAATAATATGGCCCTATTTGAGGGAACTGTAATCCAAATCAGACAGGATGCAGAAACTATGATGTACTTTGAAACTCTGGGCAGCCTCTGAATGAAATGCTGTTTTCCTTAGAAATACAGTAGCTGCCTTAGACATTATGAAGTGTAGGACTAGTATTTAATATTCCCTACATATGTTTTCAGTGTTCTTCAGGGTATTTGGGATCTCAAAAGATTTGGTTCAGATCCAAGCAAATATACATTCCGTGTTTTATCTCAGTGTTTTTTTTTAAAAAGAAAATGCCACACAACAAAAAGTGTTTACTTTGTTGGACAAACCAAATCAATTCTCAAAAAAATGACTGGTGCTTATAAAAAACTAGTCTTCAGTAGCTCCAAAACAAGTCACCCAAATGCACATGACCAGGAAGGAAATGAGCCTGTATTTAGTAATAACATGGACACCAGTTTCCTAATCACTGATTTATATGAAAACTGGTGCAGAAATTCTGTAAACTCCTTGCCGTTTTTGATAACGCTTTTCTTGTTGTTTTGTTTTGTAAAAATGATAAAAGTTCAGAAAATAAAATGTCAACGTTGAATACTTTATTTTTCTACCGCTCTTTAATAGTTAGGAATGTAAGACTCATTAAGAAGAAAAATTGCCTGCTTCCACCATCAAGTAATTGTACTCTTAACAAGAACTAATTGGTGCAGAGGGTTTATAAGAGTAATTTATAGAGTGGAACACCTGTGGTGTCACTACAAAAAGACCTAGACTAAACCAGTTGCTATTGAGTCCACAACTCATGGTGACTCCGTGTGTATCTGAGTAAAACTGTGCTCCACAGGGCTTTTAATGGCTGATTATTTGGAAGTAGACTGCCAGGCCTTTCCTCCAAGGTGCCTTGGGTTGGACTCAAGCCTCCATCATTTTGATTAACAGATGAGTATGCTAACCATTCTCACCACCCTGGGACTCCAGATATAGACTAAACTCCATTGCCATCAAGACAATTCCAACACACAGTGGCCCTGTAAGACAGAGTAGATCTGCCCCATAGGGTTTCCAAGGCTATGATCTTAATAAAAGCAGACTGCCACATCTCTCTTCTGCAGAGTAGCTGGTAAGTTAAAACCACCGACCTTTTAGTTAGCAGCTGAGTGCTATACCACTATGCCACTAGGGCTCCTGACCTAGATTCAGATGTGCATATTAGCCTAGCAGCTGCAACTACTTACTCCCAGATTCTAAACCCCTCTTTCCTACACCTCAAATCTATTTCTTATCCTTTCCTGCTGTATTCATTTCCTAAGGCTGCTGTAACAAAACATGACAAAGTGGATGTCTTTAAAGACAGAATTTTACTGTCTCACAGTTTTGGAGACTTCAAGTCCAAATCAGAGTATCAGCCATTTGATTCTGTAAGACATCACTTTAGAAGAGATCAGAATGCACCCTGCTCTAGTATGACTTCACATAAGCCTAACTGATAACATTTTCAAAGTAAGACTTTCCAAACAAGGTCACATTCACAGGTGTAGTTAGGATTTAGTGTCTTTTTGGGAAGACACAATTCAATCTGTAATACCTACTCACAGCACCTTCTGTTTTTGCTTTCTAACTATACCTGTCTAGATACCTACTTTTCAAAGCTTTATAAACTTACAGGCAGTTTAGAGGGACTGTGGGTTAAGAAAACCTAAGCAACTGTTCACAATAGCAAAGAAATGAAAGTAATCTAGGTACCCACCAACAGAAGAATGGATAACCAAACTATGGTACACACACAATGGAATACTATGTGACACTAAAGAATAATGTAGAATCTGAAATACTGCATTACGTGCGTGAATTTGGGGGATGTTATGCTGAGTGAAATAAGGCTTCTTATATACAGGAAGCAGACCACATCTCAAAAGGCAGCTACTCAGCTACTTGTGGTAGATCCCACCATAGAGTTGATTGCCAGTCTCATCATGGAGAATAACTACCACCAGCTGCCCAACCACTCAACCAGGCCCAGCCAAGTTGACATACAAATTTAACTACCACAGTAGGTATGGCATAACCACTTACAAACTTTAAAATGAAAACAAAAGTGATACTGCAATACTTTCAGAAAATCCCTAACATTACTTTCATGACTGAAGGGTTAAGGACATTCTGCAATTCCATATTCTATAGTAAAAAGAATGGGTGTGTTTGAAATCTGCCAAGCCAATCAGCTTTACTCATTAGAGATAGTAAAAATTAACCACCAGTACAGCATGGGGACTGACACTCAGAATGGATTGTTGTTGTTGTTGTTGTTATGTGCCGTCGATTCAGAATGGATTACCACTGGAAAAAACTGGTTCAACTGATACATCCTGGCTGAATGACAGCCCAGCTTGTCCTGACCATGATTCAGTATAGTGTGAAGAAAGCCAAGACTGTCAGGATTAACTGGGGAAAAAAAGATAAAATGCCAAAAGAGGCACTTTTGACACAAAAGTGGTTTTTTATCATTCAATCCCTTTCTTTAGTTTTAGTAGTTTTATGATTTATTTTGGCTTTACTATTTTTTAAATGAGGAGCTCTGGTATCATAGTGCCTAAGGCACTTGACTGCTAACCAGAAGGCTGGTGGTTCAAACCCACCAGCCACTCCTCGGAAGGAAGGTTGGGCAATCCTACTTACGTAGTGATACCGCCTCGGAAACCCAAGGAGGGGTCGCTGTGAGTCAGGGTCGACTCAATGGCAAACAACAACAACAACATTTTTTAAATGAGGGGAGATGACAAACGTCCCATTTTGATCATTAGGTAGCAGCACCATTTACTGGGCTTACTCATAGTAGAGTACTCACACTGGCTGTCATTGATCCATGTGATTCTAAATCATTAGAAGCATTCCAGAACAGATGGGTGAAAAGTAAATCATGGAAAACTTTTTCTTTAATAAAACTAGCCAGAGTTTGTTTTAATTTAAAACACAAAAACAAAAGAGGTCTTTGTGGCCCAGTGTTACACGAATTCATGTGAAATATAACAAATAGTCAGAAACCATAGATATGGTATCCCCAGTGTATGGTAGTGATAAGGCTTTTAATTGTCCAAAGCAAGATTCTGAGAATAAGATTAAAGCACACTACCTAAGACCAAGGAGCTCTGGTAGCATAGTGCCTAAGGCACTTGACTCCTAACCAGAAGGCTGGTGGTTCAAACCCACCAGCCACTACTCGGAAGGAAGGTTAGGCAATCTACTTTTGTAGTGATACTGCCTCGGAAACCCAAGGAGGGGTCGCTATGAGTCAGGTCCAACTCGATGGCACATAACAACAACAACAACCTGAGACAATCACACTGCAATGTTCTTTAAACCTTGAACGAAAATTATCTCCTGCAATCACCATGTAACAGAATAGCAGAATGACACACAAAATAAAGCACCCATTAGATCAGTGCTCCAATAAAACACATATATGAGTCCAAAAAGTCAACATTTAATTCACAGCAAAGATGAGAAGATAACAGGGTAGTGATACAAGAGTACTGGAAATGGAACCAGAGCACAATTAATGAGAATGTTGACACTGTGAAAGATGTAATATCATTGATCAATTTGTATAGAAATTGTCAAAGTGGGACCTAACTTACTATGTCAACATCTACCAAAAACAGTAAAATGTTACTTAAAAAAAAAAAAAAAGCATTATTGAGCATTATTATATGTCGTTCCCTTTACTGATAGTTTTACCTCCAAAACAACTGCAACTTAGAGAATATGTATTATCTGCCCAAGATCATACAGCTTCTAGATGCCAGAAACAGGATTCTAACTCTTATCTGCCCAACTACAGTTATACCACACTTCTTAAGTATGGTGTTTGGGGAACAGAATGTTCCAGGATAGATGAGGAATGAGGTTAAACTCCAAACCTTGGCTCTTGGGAGATACTGTCAAGAGGCAAAATCAACTCAGGAGCTCTTCATGTAGTCAAAAGGTGACAAGTGTAGAAGCAGGAAAAAAGATTTGGATTGTCACTGCAAAAACTAGAAGCATACTTAGCACACAGAACGTAGCTATTTTTCATGATAGATTTTACTTGCCTTTTGATGGTTTTTAAAGTCACAAAGTCAGAGATCAAGGCCCATAATGTACATAACTCCATCAGAAAAGAGAAGAGTGATTGAGGGTTTGGGCTTCTCAAAGCATGTGGTTTCAATTCTGACTTGCTGTTTTCCGATATTTTTAATAGGTTCCCAATTTTCGTTTTCTCATAGCTGAGGTATTTTAACTA